GAGGAATCTACTAATATAAATTACATTCTATTCTACATTTCATTATCTGTCACTTATTACAACCACAATTGACTCTAAAATTTCTGTTGCTGAGAAAGACTGATGTTAAGTGACTTTTGCCCCATTTCACAACCTTCACGATTGTTAAGTGAATCACTGCAGTTATTAAGTTAGTAAAACAGCTGTTAAATGAATATTGACTTTGTTCATAAGAAGGTTCATAATAATTTTGTACCCGTTTTTAAGAAAGAAAGTGCAAATAAGTTATAGAAAATATTTGAAGAGTTATATTTTCAGCATGGAGAAAAGGATTGTACAGTTTAAACTAGACTAGTCCCTTTGACTCCACTGAAAGAATATCCCTTAGATTATTCTGAATTTCAGTGCACTGTCAAAAAAGGACAATGAATTTTAAGACATTTTTATTGGGAATGTATCCACAAATCTAAAACAACAATGGAAATCTTGTTGAAATATAATTTATATGGGCTGGAGTAAACACATATGAATTATTTGTTATAGAGAAAAAATCATGGAGATTAGTACTAGACTTTGAAACAGAAAATAAACAAATAATTGGGAGAAGAGATCAGGAGTTTAAATGGAACCTCAGTACTATGATAAGAAATTCACAGCTTTAGTTTGTCTTCAGCCAATAGGCATCTTGTTGACTAAGGAAGATGCCTAATCTAATGGAATACAATTCTGTCTTTAGTTGTGGAATGTTATGCACTACAGAAGCCTATGCATGGTTTATTCAACTGCTCCAACCCTTCTGGAAATTATGCCTGGAATTCATCTTGCAATTTTTCTTGCGAAGAAGGTTTTGTTTTGAAAGGCCCCGATATGCTCCAGTGTGGAGCATCAGGCGAATGGGATGGACAGGAGCCTACATGTGAAGGTGAAGGTTTTATCTTATTGCCTTACTTGCACTCACAAAGAGTTGCTGTTTTTCTATGTTCTGTTCTTTGACCATATATGGGATGATTTACAGCACTATCTGCCTCTATTTCAGTGGTGAAATGTCAAGCAGTACCTCAGTCAGAAGGAAGCCTTATGAATTGTTCCCATCATGATACAGAACTGAAGTATAAGTCAGCGTGTGATTTTGCTTGTGCAAAGGGTTACACTTTAAGAGGATCACCCCAGATTCAGTGCTCATCAGATGGGCACTGGAGTCAGCCAATTCCTGTTTGTGAAGGTAAGAGACAGAGATCAGACTATCCAGTAATATATTTTGGTTACTGGTGCATGCCAGGATTCATTTTTCATACTTATCGTAGTGACAGGGATTTTACTAGAATTTTATGAAATAAGCATCTTTATGATGTGTAAATATTTTATTTGTAATTTCTAATACTTTGAGGCTTGACTACATCAAAGTCAATAAACTTCCTTGCCCACTTATACAATATTAACCTCCAAACTCATCATTTTTATATGACTACATCAAATTCATAAACTCATAGGAATAGTTGGGGAGAAATTCAGGAGTTTAAATGCATGAATTTGGGGGTTTAAGCATCTGAAACGTCTAAGGCAGCCATTTTGCTCACCAAAATGCAAATAGCAAGTCAAAGCCCCAGTTTTTCATAACAGTTACTTTGGTCTGGCTTCCAAGAACACAACAGGTTTGCTGATTGACCACCATCTTTGCACTTATGCTCCAAGAAAGATACATGAATTTTGAAAAATCAACCTCATACAATAAATAGGAGGTAATACTAGAATAATATATAGTATTTTTTTTAATTTTTATTGAATACAAAAGAAAGAAAAAAGATTAAAAACATTGAACATGGTAAATCGTCTTTGATATACATCTCCGTCTTGTCAGTCCATACTATACATTAACTACATATGATATATCTATATATAGCTATACATTCTTAGTATCTGCCTCTATTTATATCTTTGCTGTTGACCCCATTCTTTTTTCCCTCCATTTGTAAAATTTATTCCAGATTCGATAAAATTCTGTTTCTTCCTGATTTTTTAGTCTTTTAGTTATCTTGTCTAGTTCTGCGCAATACATAATTTTCTTTGTTAGTGCTTTCCCACTCGGTGCTTCCATTGCTTTCCACTTTTGAGCAAATAGTATCCTTGCCGCCGTTACCACGTGTATGATTAGATATGTGTCACCTTTATTTACATTTTTTCCTAATATTCCTAATAATAATATCTCAGGTTTATATTGGATGCTTTGCCTAGTCATTTCTATTACCCATTCCCAGACCATAAGCCAGTACACCTGTGCTTCTCTACATGTCCACCATACATGAAAAATGTGCCCTTTTCTTTTTTGCACTTCCAGCACATAGGTGAATATCTGTTATACATTTTGGTTAATCTAGCCGGAGGCAAATGCCATCTGTAAACAATCTTGTACAGGTTTTCTTTATATGATGTCGTCAGTGTAATTTTGTTATTTCGTTCCCATACTTGCTGCCATTGATCCATATTTATATTATATCTTAAATCCATTGCCCATGTCACCATTGTTTCTTTAACCTGCTCCTCATATAACTTATATTCCAACAAGTATTTATAAATATTCTTAATTTGTTTTTTCTCTGGGCCTAGCAGTATTTTATCTAACCCCATATCTTGTCTGTTAATACCCCACTCTTGCTTATCCTTCATGTATCTTGCTTGTATCTGGAGATAGGACCACCATTCCAAGGCTATTCCTTGTTGTCTTAACTCTTGTTTTTGTTTTAGGTGACCTTCTTCTGTCAATATGTCTTTATATATAATAGCCTTATCTTTCCTATACAGATTGGGATATGTGACTGCCTCTAGTGGCGATAACCAAACTGGAATCTTTGTATAGTGTTGGCGTTTGACTATATTCCAGCTTTTTATTAGTTCTTGCTGAACCTTATGTCTCAAAAAATACTGGTGGTTTCTACTTTGCCCTGTCCATATATGAGCATGCCAACCCTGCTGGAGATCGTAACCCTCTAAATCAGTGGTTCTCAACCTTCCTAATGCCGCAACCCTTTAATACAGTTCCTCATGTTGTGGTGATCCCCAACCCTCCATCCAGCTGGCCAGGGAGGGGGGGCAGGAAGGCCGTTCCACCGGCTCCGCCCAGCCTGGTTGGAGAAGTGCCCAGGCGGGGAGAGGGAGGGAGAGAGAGAGAGAGAGAGAGATAGAGAGAGAGAGAGAGAGAGCCAAGAGGGCGACAGTGCCAGCAGAGTTCAGCCTCCTCTGCGGAAAGGGCCACGAAGCAGCGCAGCCTCCCTTAGGACAGGGGTAGGCAACCCAAAACACTCAAAGAGCCATTTGGATACGTTTCCCACTGAAAACAAAACACTGGGAGCCGCAAAACACTTTTGATATCTAAAATGAAGATAACACTGCATATATCCTTTTTTACCTTTAATGTATGTATGTATGTTTGTATGTATGTGTTAGAGAATTTTAATTTCTCTGTTGGTAAAAATAAATCAGAAGCTCTCACAGTTGACTGCATTTAGCTGATTCAAATGAACTCTTTATATTCATATAAAATTATTTACAATATCATATATTATTCTTCATAACAACATAGCATAAATGAAGACTTCTTACAGCAGAGACAGACCTGAGACCTGAGACTGAAACCCAGCTTCTAACTCAATACCCTTTTGCACAGACTCAGTAGCACTTTACTCACATTGGCTGACTGAGTTACCACATGACTCTTCCTGCTCATGAATATTCCAACACTCCTACCTTCATGACAGAAAGAGACATCAGACCTATAGACTTAATACATTTTCCATAGTGAATACCACCCAATGGTTTAGTCATCATGTCTGCCAAATTATCCTCAGTAATCTGTATTTGAAGACCTAAATTTATAGTTCCCTTTAAATATCTGAGAACCCTCTTTATACCCATTTACAACCCACAGCTTTGGTTCCCTGTGGCAAAGTCACTGATTTAAATACTTCATGGTCTCCCATGGATTTCATCTCTTTATCCATGGCCTCCTTCCATCTTTCTTGTTCAGCTTTTGGTAATGCCAACACCTCTTTATAATTTCTTGGTTCATACCACACATTGCAAACCTTTACCTTGCTGGCAGAATACCTGTAAGGTGGAATTCCTTTGTTACATCGCTCTGACCTACGTGGTATTAACTGCTCCTGTGTCTCAAGTCTTTCTGGCTTCATGTCTTGTTCAGCTTCTCCTCCCTGAACATTGACATCTTCAATAATCATCTTTCCATCATTAGATGAGTTGTCACTAAACAAATCACCGTCATTAAGTGAGACATACCCAGAATTTGCATTAATTCTGTCCCAATTTTGTTCTGCAAAATTAGCAGACCTTGAAATTACAATTCTTTTACTTCCATCGCTAAAGCGATATCCTTTTGACCCTGGCTCATAGCCCACAAACCTGAGCTTTCTTGCCTTTTGCTGTCCCTTTCTTCTGATTGTTTTTGGAATATGTACCCATGCAGTACTTCCAAAAATTCTCAAATGTGCCAGTGATGGCTTTCTCCCATATAGAATGGCATATGGAGTATTATTAATGGAGGAACTCCACAGCCTGTTAACTATATAATTGGCAGTCAATATGGCTTCTCCCCAATATGACCTGCTCATACCAGAATCCTCTAACAATGAATCTTTCATT